AAAGAATACAAAGGAACTAATTCAAAAGGATACACGCCTTTCTATGTTTATAGCAGCATTATTTACTATAGCCAAATTGTGGAAGCAGCCCAAGTATCCATTGATTAATGACTGGATAAAGAAGATGTGGTATGTACACACAATGGAATACTATTCAGCCATAAGTAAAGAATGAAATCCTGCCATTTGTAACAATACAGATGGAGCTAGAGTGTATAATGCAAAGCGAAATAAGTCAGAGAAGGACAAATACCATATGATTTCACTCATATGTGGAATTTAAGAAATTAAACAAATGAGCAAAGGAAAAGAGAGAGAGAGAGAGAGAGAGAGAGAAACTAAGAAACAAACTCTTAACCATAGAGAACAAACTGATGGTTACCAGAGGGGAGGTAGATGGGAGTCATGGGTGAAATAGATGCTGGGGATTAAGGAGAGCGCTTGTCATAATAAGCCCTGGGTGAGGTATGGAACTGTTGAATCACAATATTGTACACCTGAAACTAATGTAACACTGTGTTTAACTACACCGGAAGTTAAAATAAAAAAAATTGAGATGATGGCTCTCTGGAAACCATTTTCTTCATATCATTTCAATCTCTCTCTTGATACAAAATAAAGGGAGTAATATCCTCTAAAAAATAAAATAGAAAATATACATAATTAACTATATCAGTGTCTCTTTTCCAACCATTTGGTCACATGATTACTTAGTGTCAAACTGAGTTAAATCCTTTCTAGAGTGAGAGCCAATATAGTTAATATGGAGGCCACATGGAGAAGGGGGAAAGCACAGTGCACTAGGAATTATGAAGTGTCTTCCATCCTTAGTGTTTCCACTAGCCATCTGTGCGACCGTAGGCAATCTTGGGGCTCTGGAATAGATGATATGGAAGCTCCTCTTCTGATGTGAGAATGGCATGATTCCAGATGCAATTTTGTAATGGGAACTTGAAATAAACATGATCCTGTCCTTCACATAAGATTTCACTTAAAGTTGTAAGTAAATGGTATGCCAAAACTACTATAGAACTATTTTCCTTTTCTCCTCCAAAAAAAGAAAAAAAAGAAAAATTATGCATGCTCCTATACTTCTGATTTCCTAATCATTTTCAAACGCTTTGTTCCTTTAACTATGATAACCATGCCAGCCAACATCTATTGAGCATTTCTTATGAGGCAGGGACTATTCTAAGTTTTAAATATATCAGTTTTAATCCTTGTAACAACCCTGCTATAATTTCCCCCATTTTGTAAATGAAAAAATTGAAGCACAAAAAAGTTAAATGATTTGCCCCTAGTCACAACCTTATTTAGTAAGCAAAAGAGCCAGCATTTGAACCCAGAAAAGCAAACTCCAGTGCCCACATGTTATGAATATAATAAATATTAACAATTGCTTCTACCTAAGTTTTTACTATTTGCCAAGGACTGTTTCAAAGCACATTAAATACGTTATAGATAGTTTCATAACAATTCCGTAAGATATATATTCTTACCCCTATAGTTAACATGGGAAAATTGGGACATAGAAAGCTTATGTAACTTTCTCAAGGATGGATAAGTATTAAATAGCAGAGTCAAAATTTGAACAGTGGCCTGCTTCTTTCTTCAATCTATTCTCTTTCTTTTCTTTATTCTACATTTTCTCCTTTTCTCTTTGTCATTCCTCTCTTTTTATAAAAATTGATTTATTTATTTTGAGAGAGAAAGAGAGAATGCAAGTGAGTGAGAGAGGGGTAGAGAGAAGAAGAGAGAGAATACCAAGCAGGCTCTGTGCTGTCAGCCCATAGAGCCCAATACAGGGCTTGATCCCATGAACACTGAGATCATGATGTGAGTTGAAATCAAGAGCCACCTGAGACACCCAGGTACCCCTGCCATTCCTCTCTTATTCACCCATTTCTTTCCATGTGTTTTTGTCCTAAAATATACAGTACCATGGGCTTAATTCATCTCTAACATAAAGGGTAATGCAAGGCATAAGTGTAAATTAAGATTAAAGATAAGATTAGAACATAGGGTATGTAATTCCAAGACCTAAAGCCTCAAAGACATATCATTATCTAAAAAAAGTAAATAAATAGGGGTGCCTGGGTGGCTAAGTCAGTTAAGCATCCAACTTTGGCCCAGGTCATAACTCATAGTTCATGAGTTCGAGCCCTGTGTTGGGCTCTATGCTGACAGCTCAGAGTCTGGAGCCTGCTTCAGATTCTGTGTCTCCCTCTCTCTCTGACTATCCCCCACTCTCACTCTCAAAAATAGATAAATATTAAAATAAATAAATAAATAATTTTGTCTGAGTAAAATGGTAAACTAATATTTTCATGTATTAAATCATTGTAGGTCAAATATATTTAGTAAAAGTATACATATAAACATTATAAGTATACATACAGTAACTTTAGAAGTAACAGAAAATATTGAAGCATACTCTTATAATGTTGACATATGATCTCATTTTTTTCTATTTAATCATCATATTGCTTCTCTTTGTATAAAATTTTCTTTTGAAAAGCTTTAAGGGGTGCCTGGGTGTCTCAGTCGGTTAAGCGTCCGACTTCGGCTCAGGTCACAATCTCACTGCCCATGGGTTCAAGCCCCGCGTGGGGCAGAGCCTGAGCTGACAGCCAGCTCAGAGCCTGGAGTCTGTTTTGGATTCTGTGTCTCCCTCTCTCTCTGACCCGCCCCTGCTCATGCTGTCTCTCTCTCTCTCTCTCTCTCTCTCAGAAATAAATAAAAAACATTAAAAAAGAAAGAAAGAAAGAAGCAGCTTTAAGGGGCTCCTGGATGCCCAATAGGTTAAGCGTCAGACTTCTGCTCAGGACATGATCTCACAGTTTGTGAGTTCAAGCCCCGCATTGGGCTCTGTGCTGACAGCTTGGAGCCTAGAGCCTGCTTTGGTTCTGTGTCTCCTTCTCTCTCTGCCCCTCCCCCACTCATGCTCTGTCTCTCTCTGTCTGAAAACTAAAAAAGCTTTTAAAAATTTTGAAAAGAAGCTTTAAGAATTACTTTGTTTATCTGCATAAATGTAATCATTATCATAATTTCTATTTAAAAATTTGATGTTTCTTTAGTTTAACAAAGTATTTTCAGAATTTATAGGATTTGTTACATCACCTATAAAAGTAAGGTTGTTGAATTCTTTGCATACATTGTTTACTTCTAACTGGTCTCTGTGGGGTTAATTTGTCACCATTAATAGCTGCACATTCTCTGTTCTTTGTTGAATACTCCAGGGTTTTCTAATAAGACCAATGCTTCTAAGGACTAACAGAACTACACCATCATCTTATTGGGGTTGTCTCTAATATGCATTATATATGAAACCTTAAAAATACCCATAAATTTAAAGAGACCCAATACATATATCTGATAATTTTATCAGTTTCTTAGTAAAACTAATCTTAAGACCATAGGTTTTTAAGTGTCTTTTTTCTCTAATACTCTTTTGAAAAGTAATTATTTTATTTCATTACGGAAGGACTAAGTCTATAAATATTATTACTAACTATACCTTTTTCAATATAAACTTATTAAAATAATTTAAAAAAATAAAATTTTTAAATGGATAAAAGTCAGTTTCCTTAGCAGCCTAAATACACTGGCTATTAGATAGTTAAATTGTGGAGCATATTTGTTATATGTATAGCACTCATCACAAGTAAATGACAAATCTTAATTTACCAAGTGAACAATTTTAGGTTAAGAATGACCCATATTTGACAAATATTTTTGTAAGAATTGGTTAAAGTATTGAAGCACTGTTTCAAAACATTTTTAAAAAGGTAATTTTGTACGTGTTTTTATTAGATGACTTCCAACAAATAACTATTGATTCTCAATTCTATACCAAAAATAACTTTAATACAGTTTGAATTACATTATTCTTAGTGTTGCCTTTTGTTTTCTATGTAATAATTTTCACCATGTATCAAAAACTTCAAGAGTATGCTATGTACTGTAAAAACATTTTACTAAAGGCTCACAATTCTCTCAAGTAGTCTTTCTGATTTTCATTTTATAGATGAGGAAATTGAGTTTAAGAATGTTTAATTTACATGACTAAGGATACAGACAAGAAGAGGGAAAGCCAACAGTTGTCTTACTAAAAGCCCATGCTTTTCTCTAGTGCCTTCAACACCAAGGCCAATTTTGGTCCAGTGATTTTTAAAGAGGAAGGGGAATATTTTATATCAGAGGAAGAGCAGAAAATGATGCTTCTTTAATTAATTCCCTACTGTCCCTGCCAATTACAACCCAAACTCCCACCTTAGGTATTATACAACATTTTAATGTTGTCCTTCTTGCCCTAATCTTTTTTACTTAATTCCAAAGGATGAAAATGTTGGTAGAAACCATTGAGATGGTGATAGAATAGAATTAGATGCCTGCATCTAGCCAATCCCTACTTTCACAATGCCACTAAATCATGCTACCTGGGAAATTATCTATATTACCTACAAGTAGAGAAGACCTTGTTCTATGGCATGAAGCACTCCTTGAAACAATATTCCTGGTTCTTTCATGTAGTCACACTTCTTCAAATCACAAGTCAGGGCTAATCCAGCTATAGAATATTTATAGACTAAACGTATAGGGTATGCAGAACTGCAGTTTATAACACATGGGGAGAACTTGTATTATATACTTTTTGAAGGTATTAATTTGCTTTGACTTTAAATGCAAATGAGGGAATCATTTTGTATTAGGCAGAATAATTAAAATTGCTCAAGGTCAACTCCCAGAAATACTGCATCAGAGATCTCTGATATATCTCAGAACTAGAAAGGTGTTTTGAGACACTTCTTCTTCTTTTTTTTTTTTTTCATACTGCTGGTCTTATTACTGGTTGTTGCAAAGTCTGCCATTGTTTCTGACTAATAATGACTGTAGAATAATGACTGAATACACAGTTTCACTCACACAAAACCAGCAGTGACACCTTCAAGAGAAACAATCTTAAACATATACTTGAGATTGAGCATAAATGTCATTACCACCATCTGCAAAGCCAGTTGCAGTGATAATAGGTACAGCCACCATAATCAGTCCACTGCTGCTCCAAACATACTTCATCAAGAATTGCTCTATCATGATGTACCACAAACGTTTGGATAAAATGAGGTTCATTTGATCTGCTAAAGCTTTGTAACTTTTCTGGAGTTGCTTCATTTCTACCTATGGAGGGAAAAAGAATAAGAATTAGCCCAGAATGAGCTATAAAATGAAATGTTTGAGGACTTTTTAAAAAGATAAGTACATATTATTTTGTTTTACTTAGTATGTTATTATCCATGATTCTAACAACCAATAAATATAGATCAGTATCAGAATTACTCATTATTTTTTAATTTTGGTCACACCTGCATTATTAAAAAAAAACATGATACTCAGTCAATAGAATATTAAGTATAAAATACATATAACAGATTTATAATTATTATTTCAAAATCATATATTTGGTATTAAAATTAAATCATATCCCGTAAGACATGACTACGCAATGTAAGAACCTTATATTTCTTGATCACACCAAAAATACATAAAAATAAAGATGTGACACATATATGTGTAATTAGACTCCATTTTTGAACTAACTCAACTTACTGGATTTTTGTTTTAAATTCAAGAAGCCTACAGCATGCTATAATTTACATCACTGAGTTCAATGATTCAAGAGGAATGATGGATCAGTATAATTAATATAATGCATGAGACCAATTTTCAAGTGGGAGTAGAAGTCCTAAATTTGCTTTAAAATTTCTTCTTCCGGTTGCTACTACTTTAGAAGTATTTTGATAATTGATGCTTCAAAATTATTGCTGCTTGGTAATTAAAATATCATTTTCAACTTTAGGATTCCTTAATATTTCATTTGTGAAGTCGTTTATGTTAAGATTTCAGATTCATCACCTTAAAAATTTCCATCATACTTAATATTCTGAAGTTACTTTAATGCACTGCCAGCTTATGTAATTAGGCTAACTATTTTAGGGATCTGCTTCATGTTGAAAATCTTTAATATTTAAAAATAACATTCTGTAACTCCTTTTCTCATCCTCATTTCTTCTCTAACCTTAGCTTTTCCCTGAAAGCTAGACAACATTTCACTTCAATGCCTCGTTTTACTTGTGTTAAAATATGGTACTGAACATCAACTAATAGTAATGCAAATGCAATTTGTGAGACACATTCTCCTGCGATTCTTAGGACTGAGGTCACTCCATTGACCAGACATGCAAAACTGTCAAACTTGTCTTTCATGTGAAAGCCTTGGGTTATTTTTCCCTTCTTGAAAAACAAAAGAACAACAAGAATACCATCCTAAATTTTCCATCGTAACGGAAATGTGTTTACTTAGTTCCCAAACAAATATTTTCTTCTAATGCTCTAGAACTAGTTAGAATTTAAGTTTTAAGAAAATGCTTTAGAGGTAATTCTGAGCATATTTGGGTAACTGAGGCTAAGCAGACTGTTTTTCAGATTGTTGGATATTTTATTCTTATGAAACTTTAGAAAAAGTTTGCACTCCATAGTTCTTTAACAGCTTGTAATTCTAAAAGGTAAGGGAGTGTATACTTTTTTTAAAAAATATAGTTTATTGTCAAGTTGGTTTCCATATAACACCCAGTGCTCATCCCAACAAGTGCCCTCCTCCATGCCCATCACCCCCCTTCCCGCACCTCCACCCCCATCAGTCCTCAGTTTGTTCTCAGCATTCAAGAGTCTCTCATGGTTTGCCTCCCACCCTCTCCCCAACTATTTTTCCCCTTTTCCTCCCCCCTGATCCTCTGTTAAGTACCTCCTAATCCTCCTAAAAGTGGGGGAGCATATACTTCAATACAGGTTTAGACGTCATAGAAATCTAAAACGCTAAAGAAGTGGGTCCACCGAGAGCACAACAGATGGTATCTAGCACTGCAGTGGCAGCTGGAAAGTCTCACATTTCACCCATCACCTTAATTTCTATCTTACCTTATGTCCTCTGTAAAAGGCAATTTCTTCAACATTGGCTATAATTCTGGAGTGCACATACCGCAAATAGCCTTTTCTGTGAGCTTCTTCAGCCACCAATTTACCAAATTTGGGAGAGCAGGCTTTCAAAACTTTAGCAGTGGCATATACCACAAGTCCTGCCAATAGGGTGGGCCCAATTGGGCTCGCTCCTCTGGATGTAGCAGTCTGGATAAGCGTATAGGAGGTCAGGATTACATCTAAAATAGGCTTGGTCAGATTGGAGTACAAGTGAGCCACAGACTGGGAGAACATCATAATATCCTCAGTAAGAGACTGGTCAGGGTTTGCCAGCCTCCCATCCATATTGATCACCTTATAATAAGTCTGGTTTGTAAAATAGGTTTCATAGGCATGGTCTACCAGGCGAGTTCTGAAGGCCAAAGCCAATTTGCACTCCAGGTACCTTATTGCACTGTTAACAAAGGTGGCAGGGATGGCAATCATAAGCCACTTGATTAATTTGATGATGAAAGTCCGAGGCTTCTTTTCCACAATGCTTTTCACGATTTTTCCATCCAGACCAGCCACATAGATAGATAGAAAGGTTCTTGAGATTAGAGCCACTGAGTGAAGGCAGAGCCAGCCTGTTTCAGTGGTCACAAGTTTTGGAAAGAGAATTTTACGAAGTTCTAGTAGCTGTTTGAAAAAATCTGCATTCACTCCAGGACAAGGTTTTTTACAAGTGGTCTCGGTGCAATGCAGTATTTCTCTGTTCTCTGCAGCCGGGTAAACTGCTTCTTTTTTCTTCCTGTGGCCAGATTGCTTTAAACGCTTGCCAATGACGGGATAGAGTGTTTTCAGAGCATATGCCGCAGCCACCAGGCAGGCAGCCCTTTTAGCAGCACTCGATCTGGTCCATTTCACCCGATCAGCTGCTGCATTTAGCATATTTGTCATTTTCCTAGTTACCCAAACCGGCTTCAAACAGAATTGGTTTTAAAAGATCATGCTCCGCGGGAATCCCCAGCAAATGTTTCAGAAAGTCCTACAGCGTCCCATAAGCTGCAGCATTTCTCCTCTTCTGTGTTTTTGTTTTTGTTTTTGTTTTAATTTTGTTCTGCTGTGACAGATGCAGCAGAGCTCAGACTCCACTGCATCTACGGGGATGAATCTCTCAGAAGCTCAAGCTGCACCAAGCTGCCTCAGGCTCCTCCCTCGCAGGCTCCCCATTGGCCGGGAGAGCGGTGGGACCTCGGAATCCTCGCTGCCTCTCTTTGAACCTTGAAAATGAGGAGAGAGCAAAACGAATTACATCCTTAAACAGGAGTTCAAAGAGTTAAATGTCTATTTTTGGAGAGGTCGAATCAGGGCAGCTGCTGGCGACGAAACCTGCCCTGGCTACTGAGCATGCTCGGCGTCACTTAGAAACCCACAGAAGTTTCAGGATATACGTCTCTTCTCTAAGGTTTTAGTGGATACCACAAGGGGAAGAGCAAAAAGAGGGAGAGATTTTCAAAAGCTAGAAAACGAGATGAGGGAGATGGAACGAGAGAAATGGAGGAGAGACGAGAGGGCAACAATAAAGTGTCCGAAAAGGGTATTGAATGCATGTAAAATGGAGAGAAAAGAAAGTGACAAGTGTGGAGGGCACTGAAAAAAACAAAGTATCAAATACTTAGATATGATCTTAGGTGCCGCTGCCCCTCCCCGTCATTTTATTTTTTTTCTGTGATTCCACATGAAATCCTAGAACCTATTAGACAAGTTGTAATTTGAGGATAGTCTTTTTTGTTTTGTTTTGTTTGTTTGTTTGGTAAATAGGAGGGAAGTCTTCTACAGTATAAAAAATAATTATTTGCTATACTCCCATCCCTATGTTTACTTGTCCTTATAATAAAATTCTTCCAACTCCATAACAGCTATTTTTAGCAATGGAGTATATTCATTTACAATGTGACTATGAAATAAATGACTGCAATGTTTCACTTCTTCCATCTCCTTCCTTGTGTCCTTTAGATAGTTGTTACTTGTAGGTATGTGGCTCTATAATCAAAAGTTAACCATCTGGGAATCCAACCCCAGTTAGATGGTAGAAATAATTTCTCCAGAACCTTACTTATTTTTAAGAGATTTTGTTTGTTTTGTGTTTTTCAAGCTTTTGTTTTGTTTGCTTTGTTTGGGCTTTGAGATAATCTCCTGGTTACTTCCCACTTCCATTTTTGTTATTTGATAAAAACCAAGAGCATTAAACAAATTCTCTACATCTCGAATGGAGGACTTAAACTGCTAAATAGTTAAGCAAAATTTTGCATATTTAAAGAATATAAAGGGACTTTTTTTAAGGTAAGGATGAGTATACTCTTGAATATGCAGAAACATTTTTTCTTCCCCATCCACCCCCATACACAACATACACACACATTTCTAGTCATCTGGAAGCCTGGGAAAATATGCATTAAATTAAAACAGCGGTTGGCAAATTACAACCCAAGCACTGAGCCAAATTTGGCCCCTGAGCCAAGCATAGTTTTCACATTTTAAAGTGGTCAAAATACATCAAAAGAAGATTAACATTTTGTGATGTGAGACTTTTATGAAGTGTTTATTTCAGCATCCAGAAATAAAGTTTTATTGGAATACAGTCACACCCATTTATTTATTGTTTATGGTTTTCAAGCTACAGTGACCGAATTGGGTAGATGAAACAGAGCCTAAATATTTACTATCTGGCCTCCTTCAGAAGTTTCCTAACCTTTGTGATAGAATATAAAGCCTGTCTCAGTGTTGACTGAACTTCATTATTCATTTTACTATGAGTAAAGAACTATTCTGACTTTTATAAGTAACAGTATTCTTAAACTTTCCCCCACACCTATATTAATTCCAAGAGTCATTACAGGTCTCTTTTCATTTGTTTGCATTCAATTCAGCAAATTTACTAACACGTGAGAGGCAAAGTCATGCAAGTCTATTTGATAAGCTGGCCATATTGGCTGCATGATCATTTCGTTAAGACTTTCTAAGTCTGCATGCAGAGATTGTAGTGTTACAGTGGTTATTTTCAACATCTTTTATTTCTAGTCTCATGCTTTTCATGTGTCAGAATAAGGCTGTCTTACATTTATAAATTTTAATTCTTTATGTCAGAAGTGAAGGGCCAGGGGTGTGACAGGGGATGTTCAGCGAGGCAGAATGCTACACAGAGTGATGTGTAGGTCAGAGAGCAGCTGGCAGTTGAGGTAAGTGACCTACATCACTGGAGGCCAAGCCATTGTATAGAAGGAGTAGTGCAGGGGGAATCTAGAAGCATAGAACATTAGAGATCCAAATAGGTCCACACTTAATTGTAGGTAGATAAGTTTACCCAATGATATTGAGGCTAGGTACAGGAACAAGTTTTTAATGTCTGGAGTGAAAGACTAGGTATGAGGAAGATAAGATAGAAATTTGGTTGCTAGAATTGTGGTATAAGGAAGGTTGAAAGCCAGTTACTAGAACTGGGGAAAAGGTCAATGTGGGATTTGACTTGATGTTGAGGGCTTTAAGTACAGATCTAGTGAAAACCGTTTAAATTCTACTCCCACGCTTGTATATATTCAAGAATACATACAAAACATATAAAACTATATGCTTTATAATAAAATATAAAACATCAGAAATGATTTTTATAATAAAGAGATCTGCATACAAATAACAACATATATTATAGATAATGTATATGTTGTATGTTTATAGAGTAAATCACCAGCAAGTAAATAATTTTTTGTAATAAAGATAAATTAAGGTTTAAAATTTTAGATTGATTTCCTTTCAACAAATGCTAAGTAGTGTTTCATCTGTGCTGTATTCCTTTCTTGAATGGTTTCCTGACCCAAGAGATTACCTAATTGCTCTACTGGCCCTAAAATAGCACTGTGTTTGACTCATTATCTATTGATCATACTAGTCTTATTCATGTGAGGCATAAAACAACACTGAAGATGAGATCTTAGGTCAACATTTCAGCTGTTATAAATAACCACCTAATAACTAGTTCATAAGGAAATGTCTTTTGCTGTGAACGAAAAACCAGCAAACCATCTTCTTGTCTGAAGATGTGTCTCCTAGATTAATTTTTCCTTAGTGTAATTCACCACTTCTACTGCCTCCCTGTGACTGATTGGAAGGAAAGCAGTGACTTTAGTCAGGGAGAAGAAATGGCTATATCCAGCTCCCAGTTCTTGATTTTTCAATAAACTGGTCAGCCTCTCCTTTATTTCCTTTCACATACATACCAAAAGTCAGTTAATCTTTTAGCAAGCTATTTTCCCTTTTAGTTAAGCTAGTCAATTTGTACCTGTTCAAAAATTGTTGAAAGTAAAAAAGGTTAATAATATTCTGCCTTGAGTATATGGTTTAGCTACTGAAAAACGACCAGCCTTACCATGTGGAAGATCAATTTGTTCTGAAATGCCATATTCACCTGGTCTAATTCAAACCAATAATAGATATACTTTGGTGAATTTTTATTATAAAAATTAGTATTTATATGATTAAACAAGATATCTACCCTGGGAGGTAATCCTATTTAAGTACTTATTCCCAATGACTTAATAGAAATATATTGTATTTGAAATTATGAGATATTCCCTAGGTTAAATTCTGGAAAATAATCTTGACAATTGAGGAGGGGATGGAAGCACTTTGTGCATTTTTGGGGGGCAAAAGATTTCTAGTTTCCAGCCAAAATATCATAGAGCAGTTTGTAAGATAAATGTTTTGTGAGGATATACAAACATAACAGAAATGAACAGCAAAATCCAATTTTTATTTTGAGATTTTTTTTTTTCCCGGTAAGAAGTTGTGAGGCTTTGGGCCTTTACAACTTAAAACAAAATTTTGATTACTCTCAGAAACTTATAAAATGTACCGAAGAGTAAATCACTACCGTACAATGTTCCTAATAAACAACCGTTTACCGAATAGTAAAACTGTATGTGAAAGATCTCTGAATACGGAGTGGTAAGTGGGAATGCAAACATTTATCTTTAGGATTAGGGATCTTAGAACTTTGTCTTTGCCTTCTTTTTCTCCCCCAAGTCTGGTCTTTGATCTGAAAAATAAGGCTGAGACCAATATAGAACTAAATGAAATTATGGTGGCGGTGGCTTGAAACACTACCCTGTGGCCACAGGCCGAAACTTCATTTACTTAGGCTTCCCTTGCCTGAGCGGTTAAAACTGCTGATTCCTCTTCCCTTAGGCGGACTGGGTGCTTTCCCACCGGGTCCCTTGCCGCCCTATCAGGCCACTGTCTCCGCAGAAACCGCAGAGGCTTTTGGGAGGCTAGGAAGAAGCCTGCCTGGGCGCAGAGGCTGTCGGGAGGCTGGGCCAGCGGCCTTGGGCGGGGGCGGGGCGGAAGGAGTCGGCTGAGGCTGAAGAGGGTGGCCGAGGTCGAAGAAGCTGTGGCTCGGCACGGAACCCAGACGTCTGAGCTGCAGCGTCTGGGGCCTCAGACCTTTCTGGGAGATGAACTGGGTCGGGGGATCCCGGTGAGTTGTGTTGCTGGAGCGTGAGACCGTAGACCTTGAGTCCCTGGACGTTCATTCCCATAATGGCGCCCTTTGCCTAGGCCGTGGAGGGGCGGGCATAGTTTCAGCTGGAGAGAACTTGTAAGAGTGGGTCATTTCATTGGTAGCCGGGAAGGGAGACCCTAGCCAGCCTGTCTCTGTTCTGAAACCAAAGCCAGTCGGCTTCCCTTGCCTGGCTCTTCAAAGGCTTCACGTGTGAGGCCCACAGTGGGTGAGGTTCTCTGCTCTCCCTTCCCGGTGCCTCACGTTTTCCTTTTCTAACGAGGCTTCTCACCCCCTGAGCCTTCTTCTGCCTTCTTCCCGCTCCTGCCCCTCCCCTCGCAATTGGAAGGGGTGTTTTGTTTTGTTTCTTCTCGGACTGTATATATTTTTTGCATGAACTTGGAACGTATTGTGGAAAAGACCATTCCTGCTGCCCTTGAGTCCATCGGTGGCGAGTGGGGTGGCAGTATCCATGGGATATTTAGTTTGTTTTTTAAAGCGAGCTAAAGCGAACAGTTTTTAATTGCAGTAACTTACTAGAGAATTTGCGATTTATTTTGTTTGTAGCTTTAATCATATAAAGCGTGGTGGGTTGATAATTATTTTTATATAACGTGTTCATTACTATTGACCTAAAGTCCACTAGGATGGAAATAATGTGGGCCTGTAATTTCACTTGATGAAATTCCTTCATGAGAAGAATTGTTTTGATTGAAACACCAAGCTATTGAATACAGTTTTTTGTCACAGACCCAGGTGATGTGGTTAGAATGTAACATATTTACATTCTAAGGAATTTCGTAAGGAGGAAGACAGCTTTTGTGTTCAAGTATTGTAACTATGCCCGGTAATTTTAGAAGGAGCATTTATCCTGTTGAAGAATATGTTAGCATTGTATTTTAGAAATTTATCTGAATTATTTCTGGCTGGTGTTCTAGCATCACACTTGCACTTGGGAGAAAGCTGAAAATTCACTTACAGGTTTCACAAGATTTAGTTGATATATGATTATAATTTGATTTTTTAAAATTTCTATATAACAGTTTTTATTAAAAATGGTCATTTATAGTGACCAAAAAAATTGGAAGCGACTAGTACAACTAATAGCCTAGTACACCAATATAGCATTGTGTCACAAAACGAAGCCATACCTTAACTATAGCATGTTTCCCTGATGAGGATGACCGAGCTCCCATTTTATTTAATTTGATGTTTTTGAATTTGAAATTCTTTAAAATGTGAATAATAAATGAGATGAAATCATTTTATAAATGCTTAAGTACTGTTACAATGTAGGTGCCATTTTGCCATGTATTTAAAACTTCTGGCTATTCAGGGAACAATATTTTAGTTTCTATTAGGAGGACACAAAAGCAAAATACTACAGGAAAATAGTAGTGTTTCTCAAAATGAGGTAGTGCTGTGCCTGGAGGTCTTAGGTACCACTGGGGCTTTAAAACACCACAGAAAAAATATTACATATCTTCCTGGAACATCAGCTTAATCAGGGATTAGAGAGAAAAAAAGATATATAAATTTTTTTAAGTTTTATTTATTTATTTTGAGAGAGAGTGAACCCGCCCATGAGCAGGGGAGGAGCAGAGAAGGGAGAGAGAGAGAATCCCAAGCAGGCCCCATGCTGTCAACACAGAGCCTGACTCAGGACTTGAACTTACCAACTGTGAGATCTGAGCTGAAATCAAGAATCAGATGCTTAACTGACTGAGCTACCTAGATGCCCTGAAAATATATTTTTAATTTTAAACAACCATGGATACGTTATGGAGTAAAGTGCAAAACCCTTCAATATTAAAATAACGTGCAATTTTAGATAATTTTCTTGGGCAAATGGGCTCCTTAGGTCAAATCCCATATTGGTAATGAAACAATGAGTATCTCTACTTTCTACTATCAGAGTAGACAAAGGTGGACAAGATTAGTTGATCGTGGTATTATGATCATGAGGCCTGAGGGATCTCAGAATCCAAGATAGTACTCAGTAACCACTACTAGCTTAATTAGAGCTATTATAGAATAGACATTTTAGTCCATACCCCAGTCCATCCTGGAGTACTTGTTTATTACCTTCTGTTACTAGAATTGTTTTTGGTTGAAAATTTTGAGAATTGTTAAGAACTTATGACATAGATAAATGAAATGATTGGAGAACACTTAACAAAACTCCATTAGAACTGCTCCCAAAGAGCATTCAACATTAATTAAACAGAGTTTTCACATGCCTACCTACTTAGGGCATTGTTAAGCCCTATGTGGGAGAGGGAAGTTCAGAAAAGAAAAGGAGGTAATTTTGAGCCACAAAAATAATCAGTGGTAGAATGATGAAAATGGAATTAGGTAAATGACTATTATACTGAAAAGAATAGTTAAATAGTACTTAATATTAAAACAAGCACTGTCTTTTTTTTTTTTTTAAGGTTATTTATTTATTTTGATAGAGCAAGCGAGCAGGGGAGGAGAAAAGAGAGGGGGAGAGAATCCTAAGTAGGCTCTGAGCTTATGTTGTGAAGACCCAGGGGTGAATCCCAAGAACTAGATATCCTGACCCTAGTTGAAACCAAGAGCCAGATGCCCAACTGATTGAGCCACCCAGGTGCCCTAAAATAAGCACTGTTCTCAGTGCTTTTTAGATATTAGCTCATTTGCTCTTAACAAGAACCTAATGAGGTATATACAAATATTATCCCCATTTTACTGATGGGAAAATTTATACACTGTTAAACATTAAGTGACCTGCCCAAGGTCACCCAGCTAATCAGTGGCAGTTAGGATTTGAGAACAAAGTGCTTAACCACGATGCTATGCTGTGTAGGGATGTGAGTATTGTAAAAGTGGCACACACAAAGGGCTGTGGATACTTAAGAGAACAGGGAGAAACAAAATTACATTAAGCCTTGAAGGGTAGTAATATTGCAGAGAACAGGCATCACAGAGAAGCAGTGAAGCACAGATTCTTAAAAGTTGAAAAGTAGGTGAGATAAATAATTGATCAAATTAGAGACCTAGTTTTTAGCAAGGCTTAGAAGAGATGGGTTGAGAGCGGAGGTATTAAAGAAATTGAAAAGATTATTCATTAGACAGGGTGGGTCTGCATTAACACAGGAAAACAGGAAGGAGCTTTACACATTTTTGTTAAGGGAATTAAAGAAGCAGGCTATACCACGTTTATGTTTTTTTCATAGCAATCTGATTGTATACACAAAATAGAAGCAGAGTATTCTTGTATATTATAGGAACCTGATATATGTTAAGTTTAATTGCAGAATCATTTCACAGCAAAATCTTATGATTGCAAAGGTCTTTACAGGTTTTCTTGGCATAAAGCAAACTTGGCATTTGATTTTTTTGCTACTCTTCTGTTTAGGGACTCTACTGGTCATACATAAAATGCTTTTTTATGTGAAATAAAAAAGGGAAAGAGCTGGTCGCTATGGAAGAAGTAAGATTCCCTTGTTTTCCTTTTTAAAAAAAGTTTATTATTTATTTTTGAGAGAGAGAGAGTAGGATGAGAGGCAGAGAGAAAGGAGGGAGAGAGAGAATCCCAAGCAGGCTCCCTCACTGTCAACGCAGAGCCTGATGAAGTATTTGATATCATGAAACTGTGAGATCATGACCTGAGCTGAGATCAAGAGTCAGACACTTAACCGAGTCACCCAGGTGCCCCTTATTTTCCTTTTTAAAATTACTAAAATTACTTGGTTTCGCTTTAGTGTTATGGTTTGTGGACATTTTTGCAAGATATAACATTTCATTTCAAACAGTCTCATTTTGGGGTAGAGATTTGGTCTAAACTGAAAGTAATTTACATGTCTATGATCGCAATTCCCAATCAACTGTCTGAAACTTGCTAATCAGTGATAATGTCAGGTTTTTCAAATTAATGGTCTGTTCTTTCTTTTGTTCCAAAATTATATTAGTATTTTTTTATTTTAAAATGCCCCCCACCCCCATGTCCTTTCTTGACAGAGTTAAAATATCAGTCATTTGTCTATCTTGCCAATTAAATAAGATTTTTTTTTTTACTTGTGTGGAAATCACTGACCTACAACTCTCTTGTTTTGTACATTTTATAAGTCACCACTAAGAGCCTATATTTTCCTAGTCAGATTGAGGTGTAAATTTGAGACAGGACAGGTATAACTACTGATATTTTTAAATTTAGAAGTGATTCTGTTTTCCAGTTTATTCATCAGTGACTTGTTTCACGAAATTCATAGCCCCTTAGACATCAAGGTGTTAGGAAGATGGGAGAGGAAGGAGAATATTAAGATGTAACCAGTCTTTGGGCCACAGCATGCTTTTTAGAATGAGTTTGAGTATAGATGGACTATATAGCGGTATATATGAAGTATAAAGAAAAAGTATTTTTGATTAGGGGAAGTTTATTTACTAAAACATTTTTTAAAATGTTTGTTTATTTTGAGAGGGAGTGAAAGTGAGCAGGAGGAAGGGGGAGAGAGAGACTCCCAAGCAAGCTCTGCACTGTCAGCACAGAACCTGACGCAGGGCTCAATCCCACCAACTGTGAGATCATGACCTCAGCCAAAATCAAGAATGAGACATTTAACTGACTGAGCCACCCAGGTGCCCCTAGGGAAATTTATATTTGTAACTTAGATTCAGTAATGCAACCAGTGTCATAAGAGGGACATAGATAAAACCCTGTTTAAATTTAGGTGAGGGAGAGGTTTGCATTTGTAAATGTAGGTCTAGAATGTGCAGAATATCTGTTGAGTTCTGTGTACCAAGCATTGTGCCAAGTGGGCGTGCAAAGTAACAAAATTTAATTGTTTTCTGAGAGATTTATATTTTATGGGGGTGGGGATATGACCTGCCTTTAAGTTTGAAAATTTTTAAGATAAGGGGCCAAAATACCTGATTTAAAAAATAGATATCTGAACAGTAGTATAATATAGTTTTAGCTGAAGCTTTGACAATCAGAAACAAGTTTAGATGGAGAA